TATATATATATATATATATATAATATATATATATATATATATATATATATAATACATATATATAATTATTATAAATATATATATATATATATATATAATAATATATATAATATATATATTTATATATATATATATATATATATATATATATATATATATAATTTATATTTATATATATATATATATATATATATTATATATATTATATATATATATATATATATATATATATATATATATATATATATTAATATATATATAATATATATATATACATATATATATATATATATATATATAATATATATATATATATTATATATATATAAAGCTGGGCCTGCAAGCCACACAGGTGGGAGAGCCATTACTGAGGTACACCTAATGCCTAGAATTTGGTCCATGAAAGACACCTAGATTCAAAGGGTTAATATGAAGTCATGCAAGAGAGGACCACATCAAACAGTGTTTAATTGCTTCTTAAACTCCAACAGGAAAGTCAGTACTATAGTAAAGCAAAGAATATAAAACTACTAAGGGACTGCTATAGGATCAGCTTAATAAATTGCTATAACAATGCATTATATTGTCTGTACCTGTGCTAGTTGTTGGCCAGAGTTACAGTGTGCCTGGCATGGGTTACAGAGGTATTTGCCACCACCTTTTGTCTCCTCCAACTTAGTAACACACTCTGGGATCTCTAAGTCTGCATCCAAGGATTTGCGGACAGCAGAGTTGCCATTGGGATACGCTGTGTCATCCATTCCACCATTGCTGCTGAGGGGTGCGGACTGGCCTGTGACCCCTACAGTGAAGATGATTGATAATCAGAAGAAAGGCATTGATGAATCGGTCTTACTCCAAGCTCCCCTACGGGTCCTGACCGATTATCATGCTTGATTATTCAATCATATCAACAGATGGGAAAGGAGGAAAAAAGGAAAAATATTTACAATCTCTTAAACATCTACCCTTCTGAAAGTCCTTCACTGATTCAAAACTTGCCTAGGGCTTTAAGAATTTGGGAAGATATTTAGAAAAAAGAAATACAAATGAGATTATACTAAATGTAACAGTAATATTCATATGAAAATATTAATGTGAAAAAGAATATATCATGCTTGTCAAAAAAAAAAAAAAAAAAAAAAAAAAAAAAAAAAAAAAAAAAAAAAAAAAAAAAAATCATGCATTAATATGTGCATACACCCACACAATAACAAGCAAACACTAACAGATACACACATACTTGTAAATAAATTCCCCCTTGCCCCAAATCTCCTAAACAACATCCACTTTTGTTCAGGAGTCCCCATTCTACTAACAGGCCAAGAAAGCTTATAAACAGTTACTCAAAAACTTTCACTCCACCCACAAAAGCTTCCTTTCAATACTGAGACTATAAGCATACAAAGACAGGATTGTCAGAGATACAAGAAACAGATAAAGATAAGATCTAAATTGAAGTAATTATTAAAAATAAAGGAAGAATAGTAATACTTAAATTAGAATCCATTCCTCTTTACTGACAAATATCTTCCCATTGCTTAATTATGCAAAATTTAAACACCCAAAAGAGGATTCTAACTTATTGCTTGTGAGCGCTTTAAACTGTTCTACATTTGGGGTTCTAACGCCACTTACCTGAGCCACTGCAGGACTTCTTTGGTGGTGGACCACCACCTTCCCCTGATGCACGTTTGGCTGCCTTTTGCTTATGCTTGTTGCCAGCAATGTGTGTTGCTAACAGTTGTGGAGAATTAACTGTCACATCACACACAGTACATCGAATGACTCCACTGACGTCGTCGCGCTCAAATCCAATTTCATTTTCCTCTAAGGTTTTCATGAGATCTTGCGATTTTACCTGTAGATGAATAATTCAAATGAGAAGACATCCAATAAAAGGAAATCATCCACAAAGTTAACTTTCATATATGGCCTAGCCTTAACAATATACATTTAGAAAAGGTCTCTTAACAGGTAGTCAAAGGAAATTAAAAAAATCTTAAATGCTCTTATGAACATAATTTTGTATAAAAAAGGAAAAGAAAAACCTTACCTTGCGCTGGTGTTTGTAGCCAGCCACATGGGAATCTAAAACTGTTTGTGAAGCAAATTCCAAATTGCAGACATCACATTTTACAGTACTCTGAAATACAACCCTTATGATAATATAATGCAACATACATACTCCATCTAAATTCTACCTTTAATATCTTAGTTCTGTTTTGTGTTTTCACAAGTAGAATACTTGTCATCAGTGAACTATATATCTAAATTGGTAATAGCTTTTAAAAATGCACGAAACTTAATCCCACCCAATAACACAACTAATAATATTGAGGAATGAATCATCCATCAGCAACATCAATACCCATTACCCCTTTTCTGATTCATTTGCAGAGGTTAAATTTACCCTTGGCTTTTTAGTTGGCAAACGCCCCAAAACATTTTCCATTACTGCTTTGGTGACAGGATCATCAGTCATCTCCACCGAGGCTAAAAGTGCTGAATTGGGAGAAGGAATACCACCAGCGGGAGGGCTAACGCTCATTCTGAAAGAAAAACAATTTGTTGGTGTGGAATACAATATTATGAAATTTAGTATGATACTGTCACCTATTAGATTCCAATTAATACTAAAAATGTTGCATGGATTTTATCCCTTTTGCCATAAGTACATGCACTGTTCTTTGTGACTTTGTTGCACACAGATGGCTCTTCAAATGCTCAGCCACGAAGGAGTCAATTAAAAGGCCCTAAATGACTTCAGCTGATTTTCCCATTCCTTGAATGACCTCTTTTATCTATTGCTATCAATATTGATATTATTATCATTATTACTGACATTATAATCTTCATTATATCATAAATATAATACATGCAATACAAACTTTAAATTGGGCAAATAGATGAGACATGTACAACTACCTAATAACCGACTCCCAGGTGACTAAGTAAATGTGGGCCAGTCTATATGCAAACACAATTAAGAAAGCAAAATTGCAGTGGCCACAGTATGTACTGCTATACAAAAAAACATTGTTAGGAGGAGTGTCAAAATATTCAATAACGAACAGAACGTTATTTCATGGAAAGGCTGGTATTTTGGGTTTCAAATTTGTCTCCTTCATGTCTCGAATAGTTGTCCCGGAATTCATATGGGTTCACTGTGAGATGATTTTATTCCGGCGAGGGATGGAATATGCTTTGCAATATTCAGATAAGCCACACATACCTAAAAGTAGTTGGAAAACCAGGGCTCCTAACTGTTCCGTAGCTTTAACTATATTTAAAAAAGCATTGTTGCTTGAATCAGAATGTTTAGTATGATTTTCTATTGGTATTTTTCTGTGTAGCTGTACATCCTACCATTCCAGCACAGACTTAAGAGGCAACAGGTTCAAGTCCTTAACATGAAACTAATAACTCATCAAATCACCTAATACGCAATACTACCATAACGATCAACAATGTTTTCAATTTGTTGAGTGGGGGGGGGGGGGGCACTGAATGTTCCTTGGAGAGAGAGTCTCCTCTGACGTATATCCAAATATGTTCTGACACTTTATGGTGTATACTACTACTAAAAATTCTTATTCATCCAGGATATACCACATTTTTCTTCAATATGACAGAGCACAGCAAACATTTTCTACTGAAAATTTTACTAAAACTACTGTTACTGGAAGAAAAACTGTAACCCAAAGGAGTTAAGATGAAAGATGGCTGTAATTTCTTCCTAAATCTGCATCTTTACATATTTTGAACCACAATTTCTTAAGCTGCTATAATAATAATAATAATAATAATAATAATAATAATAGTATAAATGCATGGCAACAGATATTATATTAGACAATACAGACTTAAAGATAAATAACATATAATGTATAAAAAAGGCAAGTAATCACCATCAGCACTTTAGAGTACAGAGTAATACGATATTTTCTGCAAAATGTATTAAAGGGGAATCCATAACTGAAATTTCCTGCTGTAATAAATCTGTCGATAATCAAGCCACAAATCAGAAATGATAATCTTTTAGAAAGTAATGATATTCTTGATTTACTATTGGATGAAGAAAAGTGGAAAAACGAAAGTACAATCCTAAAAGATTTGAAGAGTGACAGAGAGAGAGAAATTCTGAATCTTGCTTAGAACTGTAACATGTTTTGTATAAAAGAGAAAATAATCAGTATTCTCTTCAACAATACGAAATGGTGGCATTTTCTTGTACATTCGGTAATGTACTAAAGGGTACTGCATTAAAAACATGTTTCAATTAGAGGGTCGATAGAAGCCATTTTAAACCAAATGGCAAAAACAAGTCAAGTTTAATCTATTTGTTAACTTTTCATAAACACTATTTCTATTGAACATAACATATGCTATAGGCAGAGAATCAATTTTACTCTCTTATCTTAGAAAAGGTAAAGGTCATTAAATAAATATTTCAAAGAATGATATTGATGTGCATTACAATGCACCTTCCTGTCCTAAACCATTTGTCAAGGTTTGACAATATGTTTCAAGTGAGCAAAACATGATCCCATATACTGCCTTAGCATTTCCTTAACACTTGTGGAAAACCTAGTGAAGCCTTGATCCTACAAGATGTAAAGACACAAGTCCAGCAGCACTCGAATGGCACATGTGATCATGGTGATCTATGGCATCACCTACGTGCAGGGCTGATGTGTTGGTGAAGGTGCAGGGAATGGCACATATGGCAAAGAAGTGGGCATATAGCTCATAGTAAAATCCAGCACCTGCAACCCCACACCCAGTACGTCGCCCAACACCAGCTGAAATACACAACCAACATGAAGTAAGGAAAGAGGAAGCAAAGAGGCTTTCCTGCTTGATGCTCCATGATCAGCTTAGAGTCCTTTAGAAGGGGCAGGCTTACACAAAAACCACAATACTGTATAAATAAAGGGCTAGGTGTATACTGCTCAATAGTGCAAAAAGACTAATGAGGAGCGAGTACTTCTTATACTTACAAAATGAAGGGTCCAAGCAAAATGGTTAGCATCACTAATGTATTTTATTAATGGACCATTGGGTCAAGATAACTGTTGCATCAGTCAAGTCCACAACATAGAATATTACGGAATAATGGTAAGATCTGAGCCTCAGCAGTTGAATATATTCCACCTACTTCTATAATTTATATCAAAAATATTTACCATGACTCACAAATACAATTTCCTTTGACTACATAAGCAAGAAACAGTAAATCACCACTGCTCATCTCATTTCATTTATCATTCCTATGTATACCCGATATCCAACTAAATTAATTTAGAATGTTCTATTCAACAAAGAAGACAATATCATACCATGAAATGAAGTACCTGTCTCCTTTATTCAAAATGGGACAACCAGGCAAGAAAATCAAACCACTTTAATTTCACAATGACACCAATGCAATGCTACATATAGTCATCTAAATACATTATCCATTTCATCTAAATTTCAACTTGGTATCATGTATCATTCAGTAACCATTGCAAGAGAAAAGCACGCACATCTCCAGCCAAGCACTAACAGTATAATCAACAGTAAAGTTGTTCAGTAAAAAAAATAATAATGATTATAAACATGAGGAGGAGGATATAAAGTCTACTTCTGAATTATGAAGTGATTAAGAATATACAAAGTATCTATCACAAAGCCATTAACAGTACCATGTACAAAAACATAATACTTATACACAGATGCATATATGCACATAAATATATAAATTATTGAGTATCAATATAAATATCTTTTTGTGGGATATACAAGAACAATTATTCACTTGGAATTTAAACATTGATGAATTCTATGAGACTTTTCACCTCAAGCACGTCTTGACAAAAACATCACCAAGACTCAATTCATCTATAGACATCTAACAACCAGACCAATAACCTGATCAAAAATCCAGTTTTGGTGAAATGATTCTTATGTACTAATGGTAATGCTACTGGAGGCTGTAATACTTGAGACACTGCATATGTTTTAACAATACACAATAAATTTACTGTTAAAGTTCCATCTTGTAAAATTAAATTTAGTGGATGCTTGATGGCCACAGTAATTGCTGTGTTCACTGCTGTATGAGATAGCAAAGGAGGCATGGAGTCTAGTATGCACCTACCCTACAAGTCACACACCTGTCAGAGTGAGCACTCAAGAAAGGTCATGTGCAGGCAGTTAAGCATTCGATCCAAGAGGTTAATTTCCGCAGTTTATTTTCTAAAAGTAAATGCATTTTCAGTGTTTTTCAAGAGCATTAGTTTAGATATTCTCTAACTTTGCATGGTCTTCATTTCAATATTCATCCTATTCAGAAAATTACCTGTACAGGTGCTCTGTATGTTCAACTTGCCAAAATATATACTCTAGAGGTGGTTTGTTTGCCTTTGCTCTGGTGCTTGCTGGAGCCACTGCAAGCATTTGTATTGGGCTGCATGTTACCCACTACTGGTGCATGTCAAATTGTATAGAAATGAGTGCTTCTAAAAAGCTGTATTGCTTAAATTTTGGCCCCTAGAAAGTTATTTTTCTGGACAATTGCCAAACCAACAATACTGAAACAATGTACTGCATTCCACAATCTTTGGTTACCTTATTTACTTAGTGCATTCTATTGCATCTCCTGCTCTCTTCTGGAAGGGGCAAGCCAAGCCAAACTAGTCAGCATCAAACGCGGGCTTTGTGCACCACAGAGAATGGACGCCTTCTGGAATTTCCTTAATTATACCCATTACATTTATTCTCAGTTCGGTTTACTTCCTCTCCCAAGGAAAACGAACGAAAATTATTCTGCACACGCATTGCGTATCGTCTCATCTGTGAGGATATATCACCAATTGGCGTCTAACTGCCAAAAGCAATGTCGAGAGGCATCCGGCAATGAACACACGATCAGCATAGATGTCAACAAACTACTCTTAGTCTCGTCTGCCGTTTCTTCTACGCACCTTACCTTAAAAAGGGAAGAGGATATAGATCTGGATGGCTGCCTGTCTTCGTTTGTGTCTAAATACATTTAACAGAATGCGTACTTACGCGTGCAGACGAAGAAATTAGCGGTAGTCTCTGCCTCTGCCTCTCCGTCTTCTCTCTGAGCGTTTACTAAGCGCTTCCTCGGTCAATGTTTACTCATAGAAAACGGAAAACTTTTAGGGGAGGCAATTGTACTTGGACGCTTTGCCGCCAAATCTAGGAAAACCGGGTTACCTGGTTCTAAGGCTCTACTGTTTAAGAGCGCTGTATGTGTTTCTTCATCACATGCATGTATGCAACCGCAGACACTCATTTTGTTGACTCTTACTACACTCTTTCATAGCGATGAAACGATGTACTAAATAATCCCATAATTATTACATTTTTTTTGCCGCAGCGAGATGAGCAGTCTTGGTGATTTACTTTTTCCTTTCAATACAGACAAGATCATCCAGCAATACGTACCGCCATAAGAGTGTTCACACCAACGTGGTAGCTTATACT